TTACACCCCATTCTCATAGATTAGATCGACCTACATTGGATCGACCTAACTCCCTGGGGGTTCACGCTAAATAGCTGTCAGCCGGGCGGACACGAAAGTTAATTACCCCTTAAAGCTTGTAGTAGGCGGGGACGGACACTTAAGGGGGATTATCTGACAGTAATCTAGTGAGACTCCCCGCGGTGATAGATCGATCTAAAAGTTGTGAGAACAGAGCCTAAATGTTATTTCCTCCAGTCTCCTCATCGGGTTATTTACAAATAAACAATAAAAAATGAAGAGTAAAAAAAGAGAGCCTTAGCATTAGTAACGTTAAACTCTCAAAACAGCAATAAAAGAGACATTAAAATTGATAACAATAATAAATAAATATAATAATATCACACAATGATAATATTGTCAATGATGATAAAATAATGACAATGATAATAAAATCGCTCATGTTACAATGTACTTAATTCTTTATTCTCCTTCCCTCCTTTCCCTTTCCCTTATCAAATTATTCGACGAACCCGGTAGATAAAAAAACGCACCATGGTTTTGAGCACAAGTGAGTACTGGATTATCAGTCGTTCCAAATCTCCATCCTAGAACCTCCTCCAACCTGTAATTCGTCGAAGTATTGTAAGAGTCAACAATAATATCAGTTATGACGTAATTTGCAGCCTCGTTGTCAATACGGAACACTCTCCACTTCACGTAGTAATAGTTGCCATTGCAGGACTTCATGTCAATCTGCATGGAATAGTCTCCTTGATTGGTCAACGCATAGAGAGCATCGTTCCCCATCCAAAACTGGCCATTTGGGTCACCGAATCCGTCCCTGTACGAGGCCCAGTTTCGGTGAAAATCAAACGAGTTGTCATATCTCCTCATAACAACGACCCAACCACCATCACAGTATACGACTTTCTCGCCAAATCCCGCGATATCCACGGTGAACAGCCCATTGTCTTCTGGTGGTTTAGAAAAAAGTTGTATGTAATGTAACCTTAATTAAGCACAAGTTCTGCAAATATGCATGGTGATTATATATACAGGAAATGGACATTTTTGAAAAGTATAAAGTTAAAATGAAATTTAAAGTGTGATGTAACAAATAAATGATTCCTTTTTGAACGAGATGATAAAAATGTCAGTACAGGAATAAATTGAATTGAACTAAATATGAGTAGTAAAAGAACAATACATGCACACTCGATTTATATATTGGCATTGCAGTTTTGTCGAATCAACACTAATGAGTCTACTAGGCCACGGTTTCACAAAAATACTTAAGTCAGTTTTATGGGTAGATTGACTAGGATTTACACAAGAGTGCCGTAACACTGTTCCTGTTACTTAAGGGCAAAATGTGCCAATGTGAACAAGTAAACTTGGTTATTAAGTACTTAGTCAGGGAGCGTGAATCTGACTTATTTTTTTATTTATTTATTTATTTATTGCGAAACCGTGGACAAGGGTTTCGTACATCGTATAACATCAAAGGCATTGTCAGCAGTACTTACCGAATGCATTGCAATCAGGAGGTGCATATATCTGTAATGAAACGAATAATTAATTAGCACATAACATAACATTTCTGCCGGGAAAATAAAAGTTAAAAATATTATTATACAGTACAGAAGAAACTGTTAGTACACCAGGATAAGACGAAGAACATTCGATGTAACATTTGTTTTTATTCCATCGGATTATTCAAACTAAGTTCCAAATAATAATAATAATAATAACTGCATGCATATGTGTAATGTCACTTAGACATTATAAATTTTTATATATAAAGCTATAGTTGTCTCTAGACCTGCATGCATCATAAAAACAAATATGCCTACTCGTGCAAACTACTTTCGTGCAATCCTCTGTTATTCCCGTAGTGTTATTAGTATATTTATTTTGACACCTAGAGCTTAAAAATTATCAACTGAGTAGTTATATGTGTATTTCGGTGCCTCTGATAACTAGACTCGAGTTAGTTATGTTGTCATTATAAAAAGGTGGATGATAAAGAAGAAAATGAATAAATAAAATAAAGCGATGGTGACAGACGTTGGCATCACAACCATGTGATCTCAAATTTAAATCTCGATAATGTAAATTTGTGAATATGGATTTTATTCATATAAAGTATATAATAAAGACTATTCCTGTAAGTTTGAGAGTTATTTGTGCCACCGTTTACTTTGATTGGGGTTTACGAGAAAACATCCAAGTGCACTGCTACAGCGACAAAGACAGTGACACAAATAATAATAATAATAATAATAATAATAATAATAATAATAATAATAAATAAATAAATAAATAAATAAATAAATAAATGAATGAATAAAAAGCAAATATATAAAAATAAAGAAAGATGCAGTGTAATTGTCCACAAAATGTATTTGGTTGATTTTTCTCTGGGTCGGAGTTTATAAATGAATAAACGAATAAATATATAATAAATAATAAATAAATAGATAAATTAAATCAGGTATCGCTTACCCCATAGAACTTTACATTCTCCATCTCTTGCAGCTGTATATTTGCGTTACTGTGTTGGAAACGGGAATTAAGCTCGCAGTTACCTGTAAAAAAAATCAAAATGTCATATTGTTAAAGGACTTTATGCGATTTTTGACATACATACATACACATTTGTAATAAATAAATAAATAAATGAATAATTTGGTCCTATCAAGCTGGAGCGAAGAACTCACATCCAGTCTGTCTAATAAACGTGGGCAGTGAATTACCTGGCCTTTACTTGAACATGACTAAATACACCAAATAAATTTCAAATATTTTTTTAATATTGTCCTACTGTGTGTGAGGATGGAAGATATTTTGGATTCTAGATATATATACTTGCAATTGTTTCGAAGCTATTTATATATACAAAAATATAAAAAGCACACATGTGGTCAGTTTATGTGGAAAAATATTAACTTTGTATGCATCTTTAAAAATGTGGGTCTTCTTTTGTTTTCGGATACCAGTTGTTTAGTAGGTACTTTGGTCAACAGTATGAAAGAGTAGGTAGCCACGAGTAGTATGGAAAATTTACACCATACCTGACTTTCCGGCGTAGAAATTGCAAGAAAGGCATCCCGGGGTGGTTTTACAGAGCGTAACACACTCCAACGGACTCCGTGCCGTGACCGTCTTCATAACGGAATGTGGGAGGTAAGAGTTCGCCGTGGACGTGAAGACTTGATTAGTAATCTGGGCATGTATCCATAGTGTCCTCAGGCCTAGAAAGTAGGGAAATGAAGCCAAGATTTAAGTTGTTCCTAAATATTTTATTCACAAGCTTTGCTGTTTAGCTTCAAAGACGTAGATTGCATTGAAATGCTCTATTAATGTAAAAATAAAGCAATTAAAATGGAATATAAATTACTAGAACAAATGAATCTCGCAGACCGACCCTGCAGAAAAAGTGGCCATTACCAACCAAGTTAAGCAACTTATCTATTTTGTCTGGCGTTTCCGTAAATATATCAATTTATCTTTTTTTAACGTACGAAATAAACATGTTCCTTAAAATTCTCACCGCCTGTTTTTAATTGTTTTTTCGTTATTATTTTTGGCAGAATATAGTATGTAGCAGCCCTATTAACCTTTTTCATCTTTTGCGGAAATACGAAGTGCGCACGACAGGAACCGCGCGCCAAAGGGGTCATGGTGGTCCTCTGCTGTTTCCAGCATGGCAATGCTAGGTGTAGATGACGTACAAGGTGCGCATATAAAAAGGTCGTATGAAGCGTGCATTGCTTTCTGTCAAACTAAAAAGNCCATTTCCGGAAAAGATGAAAAAGGCTAATAGATCGCATGCAGCTCTAACATAATCTTGACAGTATGGAGAATATCAATAGCTCAGTGCTCTCTACCTATCTTTCTCCTTCTTTTCTTTCTTTCTTTCTGTCATTAAGCCTCCCTACCACCCCAACTCCCTTCATATCCCACCGTTTGTTGCTTCATTCATTTTTCATCCCGCCTTCAATTTATTCATCTGAATACCAGAGTTCAGACCAAGCCAGGCACATATATCCGCGTTTTTCCTTGCTGTGGCAAAATTGGTCGAAGGTCCTTCAAGAAATTTTGTAACAACTCGAAGGGCCCCTGGTAAAAAGTGCACTCGGTGATAGCTAGCTGTCATCAATCTCGATCAGCTAGCCTCATTACCCGCGCCATTGGCTGTGAAAAATTATGCCATTTACGTACTGGAAAAAATATGCCTTTTCTTTCATACAATTCCCGGGCGCGTATTTGTTTAACTCATCACCTGAGCTCCTATAACAAATGACTTCGAATCGATTTTAAAGAAATTACTTTCCTTTTAACTCTGTCAAAATGAAGTAGATATTCAAAGAATACACATGTCATCATTTGTTTCAAATGACATAAATATCCTCAAAACGTTTCTGGAACAATTCAAAATAGAAACAGGCATTTTTGTATTCCCCTTCTGTTCAATAATTCATTTACCAGGAAATAATCTACCCAGCATTCTGCAAATGTGTATACATGTGAACGGTCCCTTTATGTAATAATTTAGAATAAATCAAATCCTCAATTTAGTTTTATTTATTATTAGGAGAACTACATGGTGACAGGACAGAATCAGTTGTTTTAGACGAAACACGGCAAAACTGCACTCACGAAGAAAAAAATTTGCGTGACTAGGCATTGTGAAAAAATATACTTGAGGTTGAGGACAAAATGTGCCAGTGAAATAAATGTGCATCTCGTGATACCCCTTTAGCGCTGTCTAATTTTTCTTAGTATTTATGACGTCCGAATACTATCCAAACGTTTTTTTTTTAACTTTCGTTACCAAAATAGGCCTAATCTTCGTCCCTTTACTAACAAGGTATGAATATTAAAATTTTCAATGATTTATATTAAAATCCCACATTTATTACTTTCTTTCATCATTTAGAAAAGAGAAAAATCGCGATCATATATTTTACTTTATTTATCATTTTTTCAGTTTTCTTCAAATGAACCTATATAATGAGGATGAGTGATTTATACTTGTTTTCTCTTCTTTCCATCGTGCTCGTATAAACATGAGCTTTTCTACATTCTGCTCTATGCAAGGAGGATGCATGTAAGTCCGGTTATCTGATTGCATTCCGCGAGATTCCCCGTAGGATCGAGCACATTAGCTAGGCTGTCAAAATACAATGTGAACAGTCCCTACTAAAATATACAGCTTCTGCTACTTACATGTTTGGTGAAATGTCAGCCCTACAGCCAGAATCAGTAGTGTTCTCCGCTGAAGACATCCTCTTAGTGCCATTTCTACAAACAAAACGTGCATCTTTTTATTTTACCCGTATTTAAAGTACGGTACCAAGAAAAGTGAGCATTTTGTTAATTGTGTCACATAAGTTTGGAATATTTCAACATTTTTACTTCTTTACCTTAGAATGGGTAACTTCATGAAACAGCCGTTTTCTTTTTTTTTCTATGGTTGTTAATTGGAGAGAGGTTTGTGTATGAAAATACATTCCTGTTTATGTTTATGTAATCTGTTTCCCATGAACAATCTAATAAAAATATTTTTTTTCAAAAATAAAAGGGATAATGATAGCACTTATAATGAGATAACACTATCGGTATATAAGAGGAAACAACATTTGATAAAAATTTGCTTTGTCCGAGAGAGAAAGAGAGAGAGAGCGAGAAAGCTAGAGAGAGAGAGAGAGAATACAGGAAGGTGTCACAAATCTATCAACCTCGTTGTTTGTTTATGTTCACATACCTTATTAGCCAATGACTTCTGACAAAATGCGTCCGTCTCTGTCGCTGCGAGGTGGATTTTACCTGGTAGTTTTAAAATACGTGGCACACCGAACCTACATAAAAACTCTAAAGCGCCTCTTTTGCGAGCGGTGCTTTAAATATTTAACATAGTATTTGTTTTTTTCTTCTTGCTTTCTGAAAACATGACATCAATACGAAGAATGAGATCATGGGGAGTGAACACGGCTGAATAATTCATCATGACGGAAAATGCAAACAGTTGAAATCCACACCCTGCTTTATCGCAACAGTGACTGACTTGATCAAAATTATTAAAATTGTTGTTCCGTACCTATTGTTTTATTGGAATTATTCTCAAAGTATCCGAAAGATAAATAGCGCTCGGAAAATAACCTTTCATCTGCTGTACGTGGGCCACCGTGGTTAATAAAGGAAATGGAATGGCAGAAACTTCGTTAGATTGCCAAGGGGAGCCTCCCCC